GGAATGCAAAAAGGCTTAATGTGGATTAGAACAACAGCCCAATTTCTGGGCATGAATCGTGGCCAGGCAGTTAACAAGGCAGTAGGACAGCAATATCTGTCCCTAGGATCTGGTAGTCAGAGGTATCCTTTCTATACTATGGTTCAGCAACCACAGATAGCTACTATGTCTTTCTCTAATTTAAAGAAAAACCTATTTATGAGAGGTTACCAGCACCGTTTCCTGTGGAAATTAGTTCCATAGACCAATGGTCCATATGCTTTGCTGGGAACACTGGGTAGGATCTTGTTCTAAATTCTGTGTATGGAAGCACAACCTCCTTGTCTCACCATTCCTGAAGCAGACCCAGATGTCTCCTGAAATGCTATTCTTGAGGGACGGGAGACCACCCCCAAGATCATCATCAACCAAATGAAGCAGGAAATATTTTTGGTTCCTAACCAGCATAAAGTACTAAGAACTATCTATCACAGAGAAAACAGTTTTGGAGTGTGCAGAAAACTGGGCAGGGCAGGGGACGTAAGATGTGTACCAACAGCTAACCTGTATCTTAACCTGGGCTGGGGACCTAAGTGTGCTTCCCATCAGTCCCATAAAACCTTTGGTTACACATTGATCACAACTGAAGCAGACATTTGCCTCTCCCACAAAAGAATACACGGGGTAATTACCAAGGAATCATTTTGTTATTTAAAAAAAAGAATTCTACAGCAACAGAGCTTTTAAATGAGATCTAGGACCAGCTCTTAAAAAGGAAGAAAAAGGATTTAAAAAAAAAAATCCAAACACAGCTATTTTATTTGGCAGAAGCTCCCCCTCCCCAAATGGGAACCTGGTGAGTATTACAAACTTTTGCCTCCAATCCTATTGTTTGGCTAATAATGGGAGTTTTGGCATTTTAACAGGAAGGGGGGGTCATACTAAACAATATTTGGGCAAAGAAGAGCAGGGAGAAGTGGAGGGGAACCCGCAGTAGGGTTGCCAACCTCCTGGCGGTGGCTGGAGACCTCCCGGGATTACAATCGATTTCCCGACGACAGAGATCAGCCCCCCTGGAGAAAATGACCACTTTGGAAGGTGGACTCTATGGCATTAGACCCCACTGAAGTCCCCTCCTTTCCCCAAACCCTGCCCTGCTCAGGCTCCACTCCCCAAACCTCCAGGTATTTCCCAACCTGGAGCTGGAAACCCTAGCCCACAGTTCAGCAGACTGCCAAGACCTACGCTAACGTTCCTGCTTTGTATCGCTGGGCAGCCTGATTTATCCTGTCACATCGATGGTCTCCTGGACTTCAAGCCTTCAGTAACTACTACCTGTACCAGCCCCCAAAACATACTTTGGTTTTCAGGCATCGATCACAATGTTCCAAGGAGTATGGCAGCTAGGACAGTATACAGTAGGTGAGACTCTGAACCTTGGAAACGCTCTTCTTTAAAATGCAAATGCTTACCAGGTTCCACTCTCGAATTTGTAGTTTACTCTTTCCGGATCTGAAAATCTGTGATCTGCAAAAAAAAATAAAAAAATAATTAAAAAAAGCATTTCCTTTTAAACAACCTTTTTAGAGGACACAGTAATATTCCTTCCAACAGAGGTGAAAAACAGGGTATACTCACAACCAATGTTCCCTCTAAGCTGTGGAATCCTGTGAGCAAAAATTCTACCTTGTGAGCTCCTGGCATAAAAGTTGTGAGCGAGCAATTTGGCTGCTGCATAAATCAGTTTGCTCTGGAGCCCTCCATCCTGAGCCAAGACAAAAATGTGTGAGCCAAAGGCTAAAAAATTGTGAGCTGGTTCACACTAACTCAGCTTAGAGGGAACACTGCTCACAACACCTCATTCTCATTGCCCAAGGAAACGTCTGTTATCCCCATACTCATTACTCACAGAGGAAGAAATTCCTCCTGTATTATATGGCCTTTTAACCCAACTGTTCAGAAATGTTTTTTCTCCCCTTGTCACGTATGTATTCTGCTGACTGAGAATTTCATATATCAGAAGAGGGAATGCTAGTCCAGAACAGGTTGTACTTCAACAAATCAGTTCATCTTTGAGTCTTGCTTTTTTCCATTCTGAAAGAAGACGAGCCACAGGCTGAATCCAGTTATTCTGCAACTGTTTTACTCCAGCAACTGTGCTGTCAGTAAACAGACTTTAACAGCTCTCTCTTGACCTTCTAGGCTTTAAAAAAAATGTTCAAAGCTTTATAAATATTTACTTACACAATGGAACTGGCTCATCAATATTTACTATCTGAACAGTGAGTTTGGGTGCAGATAAATATGACACTCACCTTGCGTACATCTATGTACAACTATTTTTGGCCAGCCATGTTTTGATCACACCTGGTTAGATTACTGTAATGCACATCAGGTGGGGCTGCCACTGAAAATTGTCCTGGGGCCAGGCTGCTGTCGGAGACTGGATACCAGGATTGTATCACTGCAGTACTGAAAAAAGCTGTCTTTGCTGCCTATTTGTGAGCAGACAAAATTCAAAGTGCAAGGCCTACCTTCTCTCACACTGTCCATCTCAGGAATTAAGCTCCACTCTCTGCACCCCTGCCCACAGAGTGAGGAGGGCTTTCTCTGTGGTGATTCTTCACCTCTGGAATGCCCTACCCTTTGAATATCACCTGGCACCTACCCTTCTGGTATTTAAGTGCCAGGCTAAAGCATCTTTTATTTATCCAGGCTTTAACTGAACTTTCATCCTAATTTATTAGTTGTCTTTTTTCCTGTTTTCTAACCTATATCCCACTTGTTTGATATCTTTTTGATTGAACAGTAAGATTGTTTTATGATGTTTTTATTGGTAGGTGAATTTATAACTTATAGTCTGCAATAGTTTTGTTGCTGATGGGGCTAATATTAGTACAGTATTTTGTTTAATTTCTGACTTCTTTCATTCTTAGGTGCCTCATGTCTCTGCAGAGGTGGCATACAGATCTTCAGAATAAACACATTCTTTCCACAGATCTCCCGCAAAAGCAAAATAGGATTTACTGGGGACAGGTCCCAGAAACAAAGATGGCTCAAGAGGGAGATAAGCATCCTCAGTCCCACCCTGAATTCCTCCCAGTGCCTTACTGTATGGTTCAGAAATTAATGTTAAGATGACGTTTCCCATGTCTTCCACTTGAGAGACACCAAACCGCTGTGCTGAACTGTTCCGGTCAAGATTCAGATCTGAACACTGATGTTAAGTGAAGTGTCTTAAAGTAACATTTTACCAGATTGAATACAAGTATTGCATTTCAGGACTAATCATGAAATAAAGTCACGTCTCCTGATTCACAGTAGTATTAATCCTAAAGCTGGACGAAGCCCATATTTGCTAGGGTTGCCAGCTCTGGCTTAGGGCTTTGAGGGCAGAGCCGGGAACAGGCAGGTGTTGCCAGCTCTGGCTTAGGGCTTTGAGGAGCTTTGAGGGCAGAGCCGGGAACAGGCAGAACTTGTGTGTGTGTGGGGGGAGCTCAATGGGAATATGATTCCATGGAATCTACCCTCCAAAGCTGCCGTTTACTCCAGGGGAACGGATCCCTTTTGCTTGATGAGTTGTAAATTCTGTGAGAGCGCCAAGCACCAGCTGGAGGTTGGTAACTCTCTTTGTCCTCCTAGGCAACAAAGCATGCCCCTATACAGAGTAACTGACAAGGGTAAGAAAAGCATGCAAGGGAAGTATTTGTCAGCTGGCTGAAATCAGACATGGCTTTGGATTCAGGTAGGGTTATTCACTCCAGGTTGGGAAATTTGTGGAGGTTTGGGGGTGGAGCCCGGGAATGCGACTCAGCAGGGTATAATGCCACAGAGTCTGCCAAGACAGTCATTTTATCCAGAGGAACTGATCTTTGCGGTCTGGACGTCACTTGTAATTCTGGGAAATCTCGAAGCCCTAGCTGGAGGTTGGCAACCTTATAGAAGGAAGATTTTCACCAACTTCCTCCTCATGCAGCAGACTTCCAGTTCTATCTCATGCTATTACTGGGGGTCTCTATACCCGCCGGAGTAACACTTTGAGCTGCAGCAGGCAGGGGGAGAGCAAAGAAGTCCCACTCCATTGTCAAAAATTCCTTCTGTCTATAGAGATTTTGTGCTGAATCTGAGCCATGCATTCCTTTTCCAAAATGAAAGATGAACTTCAGTATATAGTGGTATAGCGATACGTCAGAACAAAACAAGACAGGCAGTGCCCACACAGACACACCTTATATGCTCTATGAAAACACACAGGCAAATACAAGATAAGTTTTTCCTCTTGATATCATTGTTAGCAGCTTTCCCCCAAGTATTTAGGGCCATAGAAGACAATTTGTCCAGTTATTCACACAGTTAGTCATTGCTTCCAGTAACCTACCATATTTGAGTAATGGACTTTAGTCCCTATACATTATTATTGGATTCCATTCCACAGGGTCCCCTTCCCAGATTTCTACCTGCAAATAGCCTGACAATCGCCTTGATCCTCTTTTACACACAGCTGCTCAAAATACTTAACAGTATCACCGGCTACCTTAGTGTTTCATTTGGCCACTTTAAGTCTTCAGTGATGCAGAGAGCTGGTGTGGTCTAGTGGAGGACTAGGATCTGGGACAACTGGGTTTGAATCCCTGACTCAACCATGGAAGCCTGCCAGGTGACCTTGGGCCCATCAATTATTATTATCCTATGGCATTATGTGTAGTATAGCCAGGAGATCCTAAGATTGTCTGGCAGCCAAAAGTTCAAACTCTTTTAGCATTATGCACCACTAGGTGGCAAGCTAGACTTGTTTTTAAGACAAGAGACATCCAGAGGTGGTTTGCCATTGCCTGGCTCTGTGTCCTGACCCTGGTATTCCTTGGAGGTCTCCCTTCCAAATACTAGCCAGGGCCGACCCTGCTTAGCTTCTGAGATCTGATGGGATTGGGCTACCCTGGCCTATCAGTCTCTCAGTCTAGCCCACCCTCGCTGGGTTGTTGTCAGGATTAAGTGGAGGAGGGGGAATTAAGGGCTGGCCCATCAGCCTCTCAGTCTAGCCCACCCTTGCTGGGTTGTTGATGTCAGGATTAAGTGGAGGAGGGGGAATTATGTGCAAAGCTGCTTTCAGTCCCTAATCAAGGAGAAAAGCAGGATATGAATACAAAAATATAAATCAGAGACCTACTTTTTGGTTTAATACTTGTGTCTCAACAAGCCCTCTCTTCCCTGAGGCTTACACTTTCAAAGTGGGCTGTTTGGCATGAGGGAGAAACCATGAGGGGAAGACTCCATCCTCAGAAGAACACTGTGAAAACCACATCAGCTACATTTTAAAGACAGAGTGAAGGTATTTGTACTGTCGGTACATGGCCTCTGAGACCAAGTCTCCAAGGACAGCACATTGTAGAAGATCACAACTCAAATGGCCCTGACGTGAGCTCTATTCCTTCTCATCCCTTGACTGGAGAGGTCTTGACACCAGAGGTAATAAGAAGCTTCCATGCTGGTTAATATCATCTAGCAGCTGAACACAGGCATAGAAGAGTTTTGAGAGCTGGCCATGGAAACAGAAAGTAAGACCAGCACCACCACACAGCTGAAAACTACCTTTGGCTACTATTGTCTACAATGATAAAACTTGCATTGGAAAATATAACAAAAAGGAGTTCAAGACCATACCAGCAGTAATAAGTGTTTTAGGAATGTACCTCATTGGTGCCCTTCAGCCAATTAGATATCCTGCCAAGCAAACAATGTGTTTTCTGGTTAGTGCTCTGAGCTAAACACTAGGTAACGAAGGATGGTGGTGCTTCTATGAGGACCTGCCCTTTAAAAGAGGGGGGGGAACCCTGTCTTCTCCTCCAAGACAGAATCCCCACCCCAATCCCAAGAAAACAGGGGGTAGTCTCTATTTCTATGTTTGCTGAATGGGCATAATGGGGGCTCATCTTCTGTCCTAATGAAAGACCCACAGGCACCTTGGACTCCCCTCCCCAGAGTCAGACACTGTGTTAATTCATCTCCATCACTTTTAGAATAGCCTTCCTTTGCATGACTTATATAGCCCACCAACTATGCTTCCTTAGCCTCGTATCTCTATGATGTCCTTAACATACTGTGTACTTAGAACAAGAATCTTGCAGGTCTATAATAGGAGTGTAGCAGAATCTTATATTTAGTTAAGTACTATATCACTTGAAACTGAAGTCAGACATGATTGAAGGCAGACCCTAGACTCTTAGGATACCTGTAAACCACACACATGAATGTTCATACAAGCCATTAAGTATTTTCTCAGAGCTAACTGGTTGCTGCAGAAAAGGTATATGGTGGAGTCACTGGAAGACTGTACCACTTCAGAGTGTAAGTGGAGATCTGTATTTGAGTTCTCCCTTTATATAAATGTTCTATATGGAAAACTAACACTTCAGGGAGACCTAGCCTTTCCTACTTGAAAGACTTACCTATCCAGCTGCAATAAATCTTTACCATAGAACAGCAAGGGTTGACAGTATAAGCTCTAGTTCAGTTTTTTTCAGAATAGCCTTCTAATAGCATAATTCTACTTCCATTATTTTAGCATAATCTTATTTGTAAAATCCTGCTTCCTTCGCCTGCTCCCTTAAGTACTATAGTTCCAAAAGTGCTGCTGAATCATGTACTTTTTTTTGGAACTTTTGAATAGGGCTCTCTCCAAATGTACTTTACATAAATATGGGGATCAATGCATTAACTTGAATGAGTGTCAAGAAACTATTCTAACTCCAAGAACACTCATGATTGGAAGTGGAATAGCCTCTGCATATCTGGGGGAAGGGGGAATGCGCCCTCTGATTTACGACTGCAAGCTTGATTGGCTCCACCCTCAGGGCATCTGCAACAGCGAACTGGCTGGGCAAGCTTTGCAGATGGAAAACTGCAGGGGATTAGATTGTACAGGGAATACAGGCATACCCTAAAATATACATGTATTTACAGCTTAGTTGGGATGCGCAAATCCCCAAGTCTCCAGTCCATTTGTTCACAAATGGCACACTAACCTGAGAGGACAGGCAAAAATCAACAGGCTCTGAAGAGCTGGGAAGATGATTTTTAAAAAGTCAAACTTAACAAGGGTACAAATAAAATGATGTAAAACAGCAGAGTACACCACCAGGGGAGATAGTGACACTTCAAAGGATGAAGTAAGCATTCCAGGGGATCAAATGAATCCAAGCTAGCAGCATAGAAGCCGGTTTTTCTCTCTCAGGGTACTATTTCTCTCATTCCTTTCCAGAGCAATCAGCACAGTCCATTTCCACCAAGCCATTAAAGTAATGCTTTCTGCAAGCCGGGGGAGGTCCCCCTCCTCCTACACAGACAACCCTTTCCTTGTCTGTGAGCAGCCCCTTTGCACTGCCAAACTGATAGGTACTTAGCCATCCTGTTTTCTACTGTAGCAAAGAGGATGATAACCTGGGTCAATTAGGCGCATTCAGGGCTTTTTTTGTAGAAAAAGCCCAGCAGGAACTCATTAGCATAATAGGCCACACCCAACAACAGAAACTCATTAGCATATCCAGACACACCCATGAGAGCATAGCTCATTAGCATATTAGGCCACACCCCGATGTCACCAGAAGTATAGTCAACCAGCCACACCCACCTTTTGCTTCTTATTCTGTTTACTTTGTTGTCAAAACCTAGGGCTTTTTTTTGTAGCAGGAACTCCTTTGCATGTTAGGCCACACCCCTAATGTAGCCAATCCTAATGAGTTTCTGCTATCAGGTGTGGCCTATTATGCTAATGAGTTCCTGCTGGGCGTGGTCAACTTGGGAGCCAGCCGGAACTCCGTTCCTGTGCGTTCCTGCCCAAAAATAGCCCTGGGCGCAATACAGGGTAGAGGTACTTGCTATGAAGCCCTGAATGAACTGAGACTAGGGTAGCTGAAAGACTTCTTTCTCCCCCACATACTGTGCTGCCCACCACCCAAGATCGTCATTGCAATCTGTTGTTAGTGCCCTCCCTACAGAAGTGAGGTGAGTGGTGAAGAGGGACGGAATTACTCTCCATGGGGGCTCCCCTGTAGTGGAATGCTTCCCTCTTTGAAGTTTTCACTTGGTGCAAGCTTTATCATCCTCTATGCACCAAGTGAAAACAGATTTCTTTACCCAGATTTTTCATTCTTTTTTTGTTGTTGGTATTTTAACTCTATTCTTTTCAGCCTATACTCTGCTTGCAATTTCTT